AACTCACTCACCTGCCAGAACAGGGGCAATATCACTACACAAATTTTACACCGTGATTTGAAATTTTGATGGGGGGGGGGCAAGCTTTCGGGCGCCGAAGCAAATTTCCGTCTCGTAAACGGTCGTCGCCTTTCCGAACGGTCGTCGCCTTTTTTCAGAACGGTCGTCGCCTTTCGGAGCGGTCGTCGCCATTTCCGATCGACCGAACTTCAGTTCCGAATATCCGCGACATGTTCGGGACTTCCCCGAGTTCTTTAAATGTGTGAAATCACACTTCCTGAAGATAACATCGCGACCGAAGACGGGCCAGAACTTGGCTAGGTGGATTGAAGTTGCGTGGGTGCTAGTACATGTATTATAATTATAAGTTCCGGGGGTTGAATTATGTAGGTTAGAACTAGGTTAGTGTTTGAGAAATTCTCGATTGGAACGGGAAGGGTTTGGGTAACTCTGAACTCGAATGTCTCTGGGTATTTATTTTTCTTGTATGTGAACATGTCCTCTCCCTTTTTTCTTTGTTTCCTTTTGAAATGCGAATAAACATTATTTGAAAAAAAAAGCCCTCTGAACTAGAACGTTTGTAGGTTTTCATACATTGCTGAATTTGAAACGGGGGCGAGAAAAACTCCACATGTATTTTTGGAACAGCCCATTGTGCGAGCATGTAATTTATGAATGCTGCAGGATGGTCTGACTCAGAAACATTCATTCGGAAGCACCATCACACATGCAGGCATTTACTCTGACCAAGGACATTATGTCCTGACTGACTGACTCACAACTCCACCACAGCCGGGTTTTATTTTGTTGTCTCCGTGCTTGCCCAGCATAGCAGGCCATTTCACACTTGTCACCAGCATGGCATTGATGTGCTACCCAGTGAATGTGTCGTATTTACATACAGTGCAGTGGTGTTCAGCAAGGTAACAAAACATAGACATTTCGGGATGAAAATAGCTTTACAAGTTTGTCAAAACTCCTGTCAAAGTAAGACATTGTCCCCCTTCTAAAACAGCAGGTCCTTTATTAATCCTACGTGAATTTTACATAAACGAAAGGAATACATACCACAGGGATTGAGAAATATAGCACAGGGACGGAATCTATGTTTGTTTTTGGTTGAAGATTCATTTGTCATTTGTATAAACGGCATTATATGAACCCTTCTTCAGTTTGTTGGCGAAGGGAAACAAGAATAGGCTGGAGAAGATCCAGGCCTGGGATCGTATGCTGATCTTATAAAATCAGCAGTTGAGGAGACAAGTTACTTTTCTGGCCCGCCTACGGTCGCCATGTTATGGACTGAGTGCGATTCACACATTCCAAGAACTCCGGGAAGTCCCGAACATGCCGCGGATATTCGGAACTGAAGTTCGGTCGCTCGGAAATGGCGACGACCGCTCCGAAAGGCGACGACCGTTCGGAAAGGCGACGACCGTTTACGAGACGGAAATTTGCCTCGGCGCGTTGCCCGCGTTGCCCCGAGCAACCCTAGCCTGTGTTCGGTAGTGTCTTTCCCTGACAGCATCAAAGGCACCGCGGTTCCCCCATGCAAGCGATCCGTATTCCATCCCATACAGTAAAGATGCGTGAACTTCCCGTACTGCAACCCAATCATAGTAGACAGCGTCGAACATAAGATCTGCTAGGTGAACCAACTTATGCTCTGCGTCCGTAGATACACGATCACGATCGAGAACATTCTTAACATAGCCGTGCACAAACATGGGTAGGGATAACTCGTCATAAGTCACGCCCCCTTCTTTACCATATCCCGGGAAATGCACCCGATGTTGTGGCCAATCAACTTTGACCCGACGTGTACCCGAATCATTAATAGTACGGTTGCGACCGCTCTTACCTGCACGACGTCGCCTCCTAGAACGTGAGCGGGAGTCGTACGAAGATGTGTCTGAGTCATAGTTGCGCCCGGGGA